CAATTCTATCATTGGTGGGGTTTAGAATGCTCTTTCATTGTAGGTGAACTATAAATCCCAGAACTACAACTCTGAAATGTTAGGGTCTATTTTCCCAAAACTCCACCAGTGATGACATTTGGGCATATTGAGTATTTGTGCCAAGTTTGGTCCAGATCCATCATTGTTTGAGTCCACAGTGCTCTCTGAATGTAGGAGAACTACAACTCCAAAACTCAAGGTCAATGCCCACCAAACCCTTCCAGTATAATTCAATTGTTGGTGGAGTTCAGAATGCTCTTTGATTGTAGTTTAACTATAAATCTCAGCAACTACAACTCCCAAATGACAAAATCAATCCCCCCCCCCCCCAAGCACACCAGTATTCAAATGTGGGTGTATTGGGTATTTGCACCAAATTTGATCCAGTGAATAAAAATACATCCTGCATATCAGATATTTACATTCCTAATGGGGTCGCAGCATAAGGAAGGTTGAGGACCACTGATCTACTTGCTTTATTAAAACGCGTATGTGAATCTAAACATCCCTTCTGCGCATGAAGCAGAGTATACATTCAAGCTTGGGCTCTTCCCCTCTACATCCCCCATTAAAATCTAGGAACTTGGGGATCCATGTAGGATATAGTTCAGGAAGAGCTGAAGATGGAGGAAAAGGCAGACATCCCTCTCCTTGCATGAATCAAAGAAAAACAATGTGATCCTGTATACAACTACTTATAAACAAGAGTCAATGTGTTCAGTAAAAGGTAATGGTTTTCCCCTTACATTAAGTCCAGTTGGGTCCGACTCTGGGGTTTGGTACTCATTTCCATTTCTAAGCTGAAGAGCAGGCATTGTCCGTAGACACCTCCAAGATCATGTGGCCAGCGCCAGAGTGGTATCTATTGATCTACTCACATTTGCATATTTTTGAACTACTTAGTTGGCAGAAGCTGAGGCTGACAGCGGGAGCTCACACTGCTCCCTGGATTCGAACCTGCAACCTTTTGGTCAACAAGTTCACCAGCTCAGTGCTTTAACCACTACACCACAGGGACTCCATAGGTGTTCAGTACAGTATTTAGTATCCAAACTCAATTGTAATGGAATTCACTCCTGTGTGGATATGTATTGCATTGTTAAAATCCTAATACATGTTTATTCTGTATTGCTAAGAAAATGGGGAGAAAGAGAGTCAATGCATAATGCAGTCTCATATGTGGATTGTTGTAGGTTTTTTTCAGGCTATATGGCCATGTTCTAGAGCAGGGGTCCTCGAACTTTTTAAACAGAGGGCCAGGTCACACACCCTCAAACTGTTGGAGGGCCGGATTATAATTTGAAAAAGACATGAATGAATTCCTATGCACACTGCACATATCTTATTTGTAGTGCAAAAAACACTTAAAAAGAATACAGTAATTAAAATGAAGAACAATTTTAAGAAATATAAACTTTTAAGTATTTTAGTGGGAAGTGTGGGCCTGCTTTTGGCTGATGAGATTGGACTGTTGTTGTTGTTGTGTGCTTTCAAGTCGTTTCAGACTTAGGTTGACCCTGAGCAAGGGCCGGGTAAATGACCTTCTAGGGCCGTATTTGGCCCCCGGGCCTTAGTTTGAGGACCCCTGTTCTAGAGGCATTCTCTCCTGACATTTCACCTGCATCTATGGCAAGCATCCTCAGAGGTAGTGAGGTAGTGACCTCACTACCTCTGAGGATGCTTGTCATAGATGCAGGTGGAACGTCAGGAGAGAATGCCTCTAGAACATGGCCATATAGCCCGAAAAAACCTACAACAACCCAGTGATTCCGGCCATGAATGCCTTCGACAATACATTAGTCTCATATGTCTTTGTATACACACATGCACAGTATAATTGTGCTCCTATTTTCTATAAAATCCTTACTAGATTCCTAAAGAGGAACTTCCTTAAAAAGCATTGCATCTCAGCAAATAAATCCTGGATACATACATTAAAGGCTTGCAATTCATTTCAGACAATAGGACAATAAGCCATTTTAATTATTATTTTCAGATAATCCTATGCAAGGAATACCTTAACCACCATTGGAAAGAACCAGGGAGGAAAGGCTGAACACCCAGGTGATGCTCCATGCCATTGTATGTCTTCCCTTTCTTTCCTAATAAGAAAAGGGTGAGGTTCCGAACACGGGGGGGGGGGGGGGGGGGGGGGGGGGGGGAGCGGGGAGAGAGCTCCGTAGACGCCAGGCTGAGCGGCTCATTAACATACCCACCCAAACACTGTGACGTCACTGCGTGCCAGCCTTGCCCCGCCCCTCCACGGCTCCAAGAGGCGGCAGGCGGGGATTCAGGCAGGATAGGAAGGTGTCCTTGTCGCCGGTTGCCAGCCAGCCTTTGCTGGGCAGGAATGGCTGTGGCTGATCATCGCCGGCCTGATACGCATTTGTATTGCTTTACCCCCCAAAAATCCCTTTCTCCGCTTTTCTTGTGTTATGGGGTGGGCAAGCTAGGAAAAGGGTTGCTTTGTTGTGTTAAGACCATCAACAACAATAATGATAGATACTAGTGATGGTATTCTTCCCACCCCTGTAAACATTAGAATCTTGGGAAAGAATTTGCAGGGCATCTTGAGTGCCCATCTCTTATTCTCTGTGAACATCCAGAAGCATCTATTCCATTCAATGGGGATCAGTTTCGACTTCATAAACCAAAATAACAAACTGCTCCGGTTTCATGTCAGACCACACCTGGAATACTGTGTCCAATTCTGGGAACCGCAAATTTAAGGGAGATGTTGACAGGCTGGAATGTGTCCAGAGAAGGGTGACTATAATGATCAAGGTTCTGGAGAACAAGCCCTATGAGGAGCGGCTTAAAGAAGAGAAGGCTGAGAGGAGACATGATGAGGGCCATGTATCAATATGTGAGGGTAAGACATAGGGAGGAGGGAGAAAGCTTGTTTTCTGCCACCCTGGAACAATGGCTTCAAACTACAGGAAAGATTCCACCTGAACATTAGGAAGAACTACCTAACTGTGAGAGCTGCTCAACAGTGGAACTCTCTGCCCTGGAGTGTGGTGGAGGCTCCATCTTGGGAGGAATTTAAACAGAGGCTGGATGGCCATCTGTCAAGGGTGCTTTGAAGACAATTTTCTTGCTACTTGGCCGAATGGGGTTGGACTGGAAGGCTCATGAGGTCTCTTCCAACTCTATGATTCTAGCCAAACAGGAGAAGCAAGAAGACAATCATAATGCACATGTGGAGGGAGAGGAAAACGTGCATCTACAGGGCAGAATTAATGCATAAGAATATCTATTTTTGTTATGTCAGGAGTGACTTGAGAAACTGCATGTCGCTGCTGGTGTCAGAGAATTGGCCGTCTGCAAGGACATTGCCCAGGGAATGCTCGTATGTTTGGTGTTTTATCATTATTATGGAAAGCTTCTCTCATGTCCCCACATGGGGAGCTGGAGATGACAGAGGGAGCTCAACCCACTCTCCCTGGATTTGCACCACTGACTTATTGGTCAGCAGTCCTGCTGCCACAAGAGTTTAACCCATTGCACCACCAAAGGTCCCTTGTACAATGAGTAACTGGTTTATCAGAAAGCCAGAAATGCACTGGGCCCTCACCAAACTCCAACTCCCAGGTTTCCATAGCACTGAGCCATGGCAAGTGGTGTCCAACTGCATTCATTCTACCCTGTAGAAGGCCTGGATCTTCTAGAGCAGTGTTTCTTAACCTGTGGGTCCCAAGATGTTTTGGCCTTCAACTCCCAGAAATCCTAACAGCTGGTAAACTGGTTGGGATTTCTGGGAGCTGTAGGCCAAAACACCTGGGGACCCACAGGTTGAGAACCACTGTTCTAAAGTAGGCTCACGTGCTGAATGGGATTTTCCCCAGGGGTTGGCTCCTCAACTACTGGGAACGTGGGTTGTGATGGGACTGAGGCCTCTGCAATGCCCTGCTTCTGATGCAATACAAAAAGGGGAACCAAAATGCCCACCAAGCATTCGGGTGTCAAATGCTGACGTTCTTGGTCTCCTTTGCTACATACGCAAACATGCCACGAAATAAAAAGAAAGGAGCAACATTGGAGAAAGATTCCACCCTCCCCTCAGAATACAAGCCACTGAGGAAGAGATCTCGCTTTCCTGGAAAGAGCTGGAGGGATCTCCCAAGGCCAATCCGACAAGCCTGCTCATGCGTGGGGTGGGGGGACCCGCCACAGAGCATCTCCAGCTCAACTGCCCCCAAATCCTACTAACCCACATGTTTCCGACTCCCTCCTTCTACCTTCCGCTTCCCCTCCTTGAAACCTTCCTTGCCTGGAATGCCTCCATCCTGCTGTGTCAGGGGAGGCATCCCAATGGGAAGGATGCTCTCTGCATCCTCAGGCAGTCACATTCTCTGGACCACGAGAGGAGGAAGAGGAGAAGGCCACATTCTTTGGACCTGGGAGGAGGAGGAAGCAACAGCACTGCATTGATGAAGACCCCACATCCCTCTCCTCAAATAACTTGTCCCTTTAGTCCTATTTTCCTCCCCCCCTCCACCTTATTGCCCTTTCTATGCCATGTTTGCTAAGTAAGGGTTTGCTTGCCTGTCATAGCCATACAGGCTCATTCGGCCTTCCTTGCCTCCCATATTTGGCTGCCTATCCAACCCAGGCCTTGTTCCCAACCAACCCACTTGTCAATTCCATCCACGCCGCGGGCGCGCGGGCCCCTCCTTCCGCGGACAAGCGGGTGGCAATCCTTGCCCACCTTTTCAACGAAGGGAGGCACCCCCCATGTCTTGGGATAGGCCCCTTCCGTGGGATGGAGGGGCCTTTCCTTGGAGAGCGCGTGGTCCAGGCGACCACGAGGCRGCCTCGCCTCGGATGTGTCCAAGCAGGCACCCCACCCATCGCACAGATAGACACATAAATGCAAACACGCAAGCTTCCCCCCTTCGTCGACCCCTCTACCTTTTCCCTCTCCCCAGGAGATCAGGAGCTAGAAGCCCCCCTGACCCGCACCCCGCCAGCCTTACCTTCTGTCCAAAGGCGCCCAGCGTGGCTTGGGCGACTCGCTCTTCTCTCCCGCAGTCCCCGCAATGTGGCCAGCTGAAAGATCAATGGCTTTGTGGGGAGGGAGAAGGGGCAGCGGTTTTCGCGCGCGTGTGTGTTTGTGTGTCTATGTACTGCTCTGGGAGGTGGCGAGGACAGAGACGTACATGTGCGCGGCGCTTCCGATGCAGGGGCGTTTAAAGACGGAGAGAAAGGCGGGAGGGAGCGAGGGAGGGAGGCAGGGAGGGGGAAAGGCAGGGCGGAGGGAGCCGCACCTCCCTTGACGCAGAACAGCCTGCAACGCCGGCCTCTCCATCCTCCATCCTCTTCTAGGCAAGACCAAGAGGATAAGGGGCTCCCCCTCCCCACCCTTGGAAGAGAGGCGCGCTAGGCGAACCAAGGCGAGGCGCTTTCCGCCGAGAACAAAGCGAGCCCTCCCCTCCACGCGTCTTTGCGTGGTCCCAAGGCCCCCTTTCCCGTCCCAAGCCTAACCCCACCCTGTGGCTTTTTAGGGGAGACTGCGGCACGGTGTACTTGCCCTGGAGGGAGAAGATGCTGTGGCCAAGGGACCCAAGTTGCTCTCCACCCTCCCCCCGCCCCTTTCTGGTTTTGGAAATGGAGAGGTTAGGCGCACCAGGAGGAGATGTACCCGCCTGGCACACACCTATAGGAGGATAGGGCAGTTCCTGGACAGCCAGAGTTGTGCCATGCGGAAAGAGGGCTCAGCTTCTTTCTAGCACTCTCAGTTGCTCTCTCTCTAGGTTTTTGGGAATGGAAAGGTTGGGCATGCTAAGAGAAGACCTCCAGCTTGTCATTAGAAGAAGAGTGGGTAGTTCTGGAGCAGCTCGCTATGGGGTGGAGAGGAATAGAAAGGGCAAGGAAGAGCATAAGGGCCTTCTCAATGGTGGCTCCTTGGCTCGGGAACTCTGTCCCTAGTGAGATTAGATCAGCACCCTCCCTCCTTGCTCGCAGAAAGAAAACAAAGACATGGTTTAATGCAGGGGTCCTCAAATTAAGGCCCGGGGCCTGGATACGGCCCTCCAAGGTCATTTACCCGGCCCTCACTCAGAGTCAACCTAAGTCTGAAATGACTTGAAAGCACATAACAGCAACAAGAACAACAACAATCCTATCTCATCAGCCAAAAGCAGGCCCACACTTCCCATTGAAATGCTAATAAGTTTATATTTGTTAAAATTGTTCTTCATTTTTAATTATTGTATTGTTTTTAAGTGTTTTGCACTACAAATAAGATGCGTGCAGTGTGCATTCATTCACGTTTTTTTCAAATTATAATCCGGCCCTCCAACACTTTCAGGAACTGTGACCTGGCCCTCTGTTTAAAAAGTTTGAGGACCCCTGGTTTAATGTATTGTCTTTCATGGCCAGAATCACTGGATTTTTGTGCGGTTTCCAGGCTGTATGACAGGGCCTTCTCAGTGGTGGTCCCTCGGTTGTGGAACTCCCTCCCTAGTGATATCAGGGCAACTCCCTCCCTCATAGTCTTTAGAAAGCAAGTCAAATCCTGGCGCTGGGAGCAGGCGTTTGAAAAATAGAGCAGTGCAGGAATGTTAGCATGGAATATGTGCAAATTGGCTATGGATTGTCCTTTAGACTACAACTCTGGATGACATGATTCATTGAAATGTATTTTTATTATGCTTATTATGTTTTAATTTTTAACTTAGGTTTCAACTGATGTTCTATGTTTTAAGGCACTATGGAGGTGCAATTGCAAGCAACCTTGAGTCTCCCTCCCCCCAGGGTAGAGAAAGGCAGGATATAAATAAGGTAAATAAATAAATAAATAAATGTTACAGAAGCATTCTCTCCTCACGTTTCACCTGCATCTGTGGCAGGAATCATCAGAGGTTGTGAGGTCCTCCATGTGTCTTGGAACAATATATTGTCAAAGGCTTTCATGGCCAGAATCACTGGGTTATTGTGAGTTTTCTGGGTTGTATGGCCACGTTCCAGAAACACTCTCTCCTGATGTTTTGCCAGCATCAACCAAGTCTCTTTTTCTCTCTTGCCAGGCCCGTAGCTAGGATTTCGTTTCTGGGGGGGGGGGGGGGGGGGGGGGGGGGGGGCTGAGTCTGAGTGAAAGAGGGTCTAGCCTAGCAAACCTTTTGTATCATTACCCCAATACCCCCATGCATATGGGATATATCGAGTATGGTGATCAGATCATGATATGAATAAACATGAATAAACATAACAGTTTAAATAATGCACCAGTAAGGCCTTTTTTGCGAACCACCATGAGAATTTCAGGGGGGGGGGCTGAAGCCCCTCAAGCCCCCCCCCCCCTTGGCTACATGCCTGTCTCTTGCTCTTGATTTTTGGAAATTGAGAAGTTGGCATACTAGAAAGAAGGGGTGCTTTGAATGTGATTTTACTGCTTCTTGACGGGGTTGGACTGGATTGCCCATGGGACCTCTTCCTAGAATTCTATTATCCCTATTTGTGGGTGGTTCATGGGTAACAGCAGCTCTGGGGTAGAGAGAAATAGAAAAAGCAAGGAAGAGAGTGAGCATAGTGTAGTTTGAGGGTTGGGTCAAAATCCAGGAAATCAGGGTTTGAATCCATACTCCACCATGGACACACATTTGAGCAAGTCACACTCATTCAGTCTCACCAGAAGGTGATGGAAAACCACTTCAAAATAATAGATCTTGCTAAGTGATTGAGAAGTTGGTATTAACAAAGTGCTCAAGCCTCTTTCTCCCTCTCACCCTCGACTTTTGGAAATGGTTGGGTGCTTTAGAGGGAAATGTCACATACCTATAAGAGGAGTGGGCCATTAGCCAGAGTTGTCTGATGAGAGGAATAGAAAGGCCAAGAAATAGGAAGAGTGTGGTGTTTTGAGGGTTGGGCCAACACTCTGTGAAACTAAGGGTCAAAGAAGTACTTCACCATGTGTGTCTCAGTCAAATGATGGTGAACAGCACTGGGAATAATAAATATTGTCTAGAAACCCCCAGGATAGAGTCTAGAAACCATAAGTCACAGATCACTTGGAGACACATCATAACAATTTCAAGGAAGCCTTGTTTGCAAAGTGAAAATACATAAAGAGAAAGATACAAGGGGAGGTAGATTGCATATTAGGGTTGGCCTAAAATAGCCAAATTACAAGCCCTGACTAGTGTTTGGATGGAGCCCTCCATGTGGTATGATTCCCCTTCCTTTGGTAGTTGTTAAGATGTCTCCTTGAAGAGCAAAACTTTAACTTAAGAGTGTCCCAACTTAAGAGTGTTTTGAGTTAAGAGCCATCACTCAGTCTGGGTTTCACTTTGAGTTAAGAGCTAGTGCCAGAAGGAGCTCTATCTAATGTGAGAGTGCAGAGCTTTAGGGCTTCAAAGGAGCAGTCTCTGAGCCTTGTGCCTCCATACCTTGTACTCTTGTCTGCTTTGGGAGATTGCTGTCTGCTTTGCTCTTGTCTGCTTTGAGGAACATTAGGTTAGTTGATTTTGTGTGGTTTTTTATTCCTGGTATGTTTTGAGCCCCGGTGGTGCAATGGGTTAAAACACTGAGCTGCTGAGCTTGTTGATCGAAAGGTCGCAGGTTCGATTCCGGGGAGCAGTGTGAGCTTCCTCTGACAGCTCCAGCTTCTTGCAACCTAGCAGTTCGAAAACATGCAAATGTGAGTAGATCAATAGGTACTGTTCAGGTGGGAAGGTAACGGCACTCCATGCAGTCATGCTGACCACATGACCTTGGAGGTTCTATGGACAACGCTGGCTCTTTGGCTTAGAAATGGAGATGAGCACCACACTCCAGAGTCAGACACGACTGGACTTCATGTCAGGGTAAAACCTTTACATTTACCTTATGTTTGGCTTCATGAAGAGAGGGAGCAAGAGAGGGAGGGAGGCTGGAAGGAGTACAGCATGAAGAAAATGATGCTTCTGCCTCTTCACTGAAGCTTGATGGAACAAACATCTTTTAGTGGTCTCTTCTTTCTTCTTGCCTCCTTAAGTCAATTGCTTGGGAACCCATTTAACACACACTTTGTGATATCCCAAGTCAGCAGTGATTCCCTGGACAGAGCCATACGAGATGTTCAATACATCAGCAACATCCTGAACTGTAACATGTCTGTCTCCTCAAATCAATTCATCAGCATGTTCTCGATTTGCATCTGTGACTAATGTTGTCAGCTGGCCACTTCTCAGTTTATCTGCAATTTCTATTTCTCAATTTTCAAACTTCTTCACCCAATGCCACACATTGCTGATGTCCATTACAGCATCCCCATAAACATTCTTCAAGTGATTATGGATTTCCTTAGCTGCACAACCTTCTTTTGCCAGAAATTCAATGATGACTCTTTCTTTTAGCTTTAGATTCATGGTTCTAGTCAGTCAATCTGAAAAAGAAAAGACTATATCAGTAGAGTAAGGTTACCTCCTTCATATTATGCATAGATAGTCCAGTAGCTGTGAAAGAAATAAAAGAGCGATTGAGGCATTTCTTTTTGATATATCACAATGTGAATTTCCATCTTTATTTATTTATTTATTTATTTATTTATTTATTTACAGTATTTATATACCACTTTTCTCACCCCTAGGGGGACTCAAAGCTAGAACAGTAATTTAGGTTTCCATATGCCCATCCCCATGTTCATATGTATGTCCAATTACTCGATATACATCCTATCCAGTATCAATGTGCCCACATAACCAAGATGTTTTCAAGGTTCTTGGAGTTATTAGTATCTCTGTGTGTCAATATTAAGTTAGTGATTGAAAAAAAAAAATTTTCAGTGAAAGTAATTTTTTAACATTGAATAAACTACTTTCTGCTAGCTGTATTATACAGATGTCATGTTTTGTAGCTATGTACATTCTATATATGTTTGTTTAATTCTACTGCTACATGTATTTATTTCTTATAGCCTTTATTTATTTCTCTCAAATAAACATAACTGCCAATGTGATGTACAATAGGTAAAAACAATTTAAAGTAGAACATAAATAACTACAAACCAATTAAAATACTCTAGCTTCTCTTTAAAAAATCTCTAAAAACAGTTTTAAAAAACCCTCCAAAATCAGAATTTAAAACAGCCAGAGCAGACTACTCACCAATTTATGCTGCTACCCTAACACCACATATGTGCAGCCCTCTTGATGTTCTTGACTGCAGCTGCCATCAGTCTCAGTTAGCATAAGAAATGCTGGGAGTTGCTGTTCATAATCTCCCAAGGTTTTGAGAGGATTTTATTTCTACCTCTATTTTTTATG